TGGTAACTCACAACGCCCCATTCCCCTCCTCTCTTCGATGTCCCCCCCCTTGCTTCTTCAGGTTCTCGCTCTCGTTCTCCACCTCCGCGCCGCCACTACGACGATGACCGCCGTCGTTAATTCGATCATCTCTTCTCCCTCTCTCTCTCTCTCTCTCTCTCTCTCTCTCTCTCTCGGTTTCTTCCTTTTGTGAAATTAAAACTGACACTTGGTAATCTCCCTTCAGCTTTCAAAGTGTGAGAAAGTATAACACAGTTCACTTCACCATGGCAAAATACCTCCCTAAAACGTAATTACGGTCACACCAAGGGCTTCCTCCTTGGAATTTTTCCAATTTTAACTCTTGTTTTTCTATTTTTAAATTTCTTTTTCAACACTTGTTGTGTTTTTTTATTTTTCTTTTGGCGGTGAGTCGGGCCCGTGACGACCGAGCGGGGGGCGCAATGCCACTGCCACTGGCCTGGTCATCATTGGATTGATGGCTGGGAATTGCATTTGATGAGGAGGTGTAATGGGTCGCGGGCTTGTAGAGGGATTGGCATGGCTCTTGTTTGCGTTGGAACTGACCAAATAAATTCCAACTTTTCCGTGCACCAGGCGGCAGCAGGCTCGAGCTCACAGTTTGTGTCGTTTGCTTTCCTGAGGTGATAGCTGCCTTTGGAGACGCGTGAAAATGGCAGTGGCCGTGCAGCAGCCCGATACAGGTCGATACCTGGCGCAATGGCGCGATCGTTTGGATCGTGGCGTCGGCTTTGACAACTGGGGCCAAATGATTGAGGCGTGTGACGAGTATGATAAGGTATGTCGGCTCGACCAAGGACCCACCCTGCACTGCCTGCCCCTGCTGCCCACCTCCTGGCCTCATGCGCGCGCCCTGTCAGGTCGTGAGCGAGATCAAGTCAACGGTGCATAAGCAGAAACCTCCATTTACAGAGGACGTGTGCAAGTTTCTCGTCAACGTCGCCATTGCCGCCACCCTGCGAGCCAAGGCAGCCCAAGACCTGACGGGTGCGTGCTGACCGTCAGACTTGATTCAAATCCGCCGTGACACGGAATTTGAATTATTGAAGCTTCGAGGATCCGCTAAATTCCGAGCAAACGGGTGCTGCTGCACCTCGTTGGCCTTTCGCTCATCTTGTCCGCCCCTTCTCGAGTGCAGGCAAGGTGGCTGGCGTGACGCTGTCGGAGATGCGCCACCTGATTGAAACGATGAAACAGCTGCCCGATACCGTGCCGCCGTTTCCACTGCCGGGCGTTGAAGAGTTTCGCCATCTCATGCCGGCCCCGGCCCCGCACATGGGATCCCTGGCTGGCGCCGGGGCCCAGGGCGACCAGGACACGGACAACGAGGATGATCAGGATGCCGGTGTGTTACAGAAAAACAACCCCTCTCTTCTGCAACAGAACCAGCAAAGCAAATGAGAGGAAAGAATCACTGTGAAGCCTTCTTCAGGGTTGTGCTGCTTGCCTCTGACAATGTCTGTCTGACTTGAAACTTTTGAACACGATGCTGGCAGACCACGCCACGACCGGTGGATCCCTCAAGCCTCGCATCAACTTTCCGGGTAAAACCAACATTACCATCTTCATTCAGAAGATTCAGCTCAAGGATCCCAGCCAATACATCGAGCCCTACTTTACCATCTCCGTCAAAGGTGAGACTATGCTTGCTTGTTTTCTCGTCTGCTCATGCAAGTTCCCTCGCTGCTGGTGTGGAGTCAACACACGCAAACGTCACTTTGGGCCATGCCAATTTTTGTTACCAACACCCACAGACGCCACGGGCAAGGATCTTGCTGCGCCCCAGGATACTCCGCCCACCAATCGCAAGGACAACGACTTTATTCACTTTACCCAGCCCATTGAGATTCAACTGGCCCTCGAGGACTTGTCGGCCGGTAGGATATTTACCACATGACTTGATTTGTCGACGCCCCATGATCACGGTTCTTGGTGCTCGTGTTTGCATGAATGCCGCAGACTGTGCCATCTTCCTCGAGTTCAAGCACTTCAAACCGCGCAAGCACAAGACCTCGGTCAAGTGCTTTTCGCTCATGGAGCTGGACGAGCTCATCCATTCGGCACAAGCCGTGCCTTTGGAAATGTATGTGCTGCGTCCTGCCATGAACGACCCGTGACTGCTTTGAATGGCCTCAAATTCTGTTGGCCCTCTCACCTGCACACTCGCACCAATCAATCGCAGCTATGCCAAGCCCACCGACTTTAAGCGCCGCAAGCTGCACTTGCTCACGGAGAAGAAGCACTATCTGTGGGTCATGGTTCACCTGACCAAGAACTAAATGCAAGGGGTCCAAGACCAGTGGTGCCTGTGGCATCCCCTCTCCCTCTTGTGCATGTCTTGTCTCCCTTTTCTGTTCTCTGTCTCTGCTGGCGCATTTGTCTATTCTTCTTCTTTTGTTGGTGGGCCGGACCCCTTTCTTGTCGAGTACATGGCTCTACCACATTGAAACTTGTAACCCAACGCTCCTGCTTTGACGTCGGCTTTGGTGTTTTTAAAAACATTCTCACATCTGGGGGAGGGAGACCAACTCGATGCTGGAACTTGCTGCACTCTCATTCGATTAAGTCGGGTGGGGTTGGTTGGAGATATTGGGAATCCAGAGCACGTCAAGGAGAAGAACACCAGGCAAGCGGCAAGCGCATTGCCATCTTTGCGCCGACTCAAGCCAAGGCCTTGATGAGCTTCTTGGCACGCTTTCGGATGATTTTATAAATGACCGGCGTCACCTGTTCGGCATCAAAGGTTTCTTTATTGTCTTCGGCGGCTAGTCGCGCCGACTCGAGAACCGCCGGTGACACCTCCTCACTCGCCACAACCTGTTCGGCTCGCTCGCGCAGGCGCATCCGTGCCACGCCCTGAAGGGCCTGAACATATGTCACAAACACATCAAAGTCATCTTTGGGTAGCTGCGCGGAGCAAGCAAGCACGCGGCAGGGCAAGAGGTGAGAGGCACAAGGCAACAGGCGCAGGTCCGCAGGCTGGTGGGATGAAACGCGAGGTGGGCGCGCAGGCGGACCAGGTAGGGATCAAATGCATGCTCAAGCAGAAACTATGGCAGAGAAAGCCAGCGGGCCAAGGACCGTGAGGATTGGAAACAGCGAGTGGGGCCAAGGCGCGTCGTGTCATCCAAAGCAGCAGCGCGGGCAACCCTCTGCTGATCGTACATTTTGGCGAACTTTTTGAAACTTCCATTGTGTTCGGTCAGACTGCCACAGGCGCAGGTAATCTAGTGCCTGCTGATATGACTGACGATCTTTGACTGCGGAGCCAGAGGTGCAAAGGTCAGACAGGACGGGGAGTGAGTGCCCAGCAAACGAGAGCTAAAAGCCGTGCAGTCCAAGACAAGACTCACCAGCGGGAGGCGGCGGAGCGGACTCTTTCTTGGGTGTATCTGATGCATCTGTCTTTTTGCTGCGCTTGGCCTCGGGCTTGCTTTCGCTGCTGCTGCCGTGGCTTGACCCGCGCCCGCGACCGCCACGACCACCGCGACCACCGCGACCGCCACGGCCGCGCTCAGCACCACCCCGACCACGACCACGCTCCCCCGCACCCTGTCCCCGACCACGACCGCCACGACCACGACCACGACCCCGCCCACGGCCTCCATCCCCAGCACCCCGTCCAGCTTGTCCAGCTTGTCCAGCCGCCACCGTCACCGGCGCCTCACCCCCCTCGGTTGCCGCCATCTTGATCTCTTGAGAGAGAGAGACAGAGAGAGAAAAGAAACAAAAGAGACACGTGTGTTCCACATTCTCTCTCTCTCTCTCTGTCTTCGTGTCTGTCTCTCTGTCTCTCTCTGTCGTTCCCTCTTTCTCTGCTCTCTCTGTCTGTCGTTCACTCTTTCTCTGCTCTGACTCTCTTCTCTATCTCTCTCTCTCTCTCTCTCTCTCTCTCTCTCTCTCTCTCTCTCTCTCTCTCTCTCTCTCTCTCTCTCTGCTCTTTGTCTCTGTGCAGTCTCCGACTCGGTCTGAGGTAGCAGAATCGATCGCGGTGACTCCCGTTGGCTATGCAGCGCTTGGTTTTTTTTACTGATGACTGATGGAGAGCCTCGAGTTGGGAGGACGGCTCAAGCGTTTGGGTGGGCGCAGCCATCCAGGACGACAACAGGCTCTGAATTGTATTTCTTTTTTTTTTGCTGTCTGCTTCTTCACAGATCACAACTGAACGACGAGAGAAAACCAAAAGGGACAAGCATCACCACGGAGTAACCGGTCCGTCCCGTCCGTGTCGAGGCCGGGGGGGGGGGGGGGGGGGGCACTTTGAAGAAAGATAAAGACGAATGGTGGTGGTACAGAGAAAGTCACATCTCGAGGGCTGAGGCTCCAAAGGCATCATCGTGATGGTAAGTCAAATCTGCATTGGCGGGATCGTGTGTAGTGTGAGGATCGAGTGCAGCGCCAAGTCAAGGGTGCCCATGGGATGGAAGCACGTACAGAGAAACCCGTCGTCATCACCAAAGTCCTGGTAGAGCTGGCGTATCGCTTTGCTGAAAACAGGCCCCGTGGCAAAGGGAGGCAAAAGGAGAAGGGCGTGAGGTGCATTGAGGTGCATCGAGGTGCATCGAGTCACATCGAACGGGTGCAGATGCGGGTGCAGCTGGGCCGAGACAAGACGGTCAACGCACCTGGTTTCTGGAATGGCAAACTTGCCATCGTTTTCAACGTAGACAAAGATGCTTTGCGAGGCCGCCAAATTGCTGCGGCTGCGAATAATCTGCTGAAACTAACGCCATGCAAGGGGCGTTGGATCGTACAGAGCGGGTAAGAGCAGCGTGACTTGATGGGTTTGCAAACGCGGGAGGAGAATGAAAACAGCAATGTTCTCCCCGCCCCCACACAAAGCAGGGGAACGTGAAGAAGGGTGGTTTGAATCTGCTTGGAGACCAAGGGACATGACCACCGACCTGGGCCAGCGTCATTTCGCCAGAGACAATAAACTTGTTCTTATCGAGGGGGGGAAGCTTGCAGCGTTTGCCACGCAGGACAATCACGGGATATTGCTCGCTGTACTTTTTGCGTATCCGGCGAGCCTCGGCGCTGCGTGCAGCTAACGTGTTCAGGCGCATCGTGGACATTTGGACAGCCGCATCCGTCGTAAGGCGGTGCGCCGACGAATGGCGACAGAAAAAAAAGACACGAAACAGGACGAAGAGTGAAAGCCAAGCGGGAGCGGAAGAAGAAGAAGAAGAAGAAGAAGAAGACGGAGAAGACGGAGAAAGAGATGGAGAGAGAGAGCGCGCGCAGGGGGGCGAGCGAAGGGGGTGGGATGGGCGGCTCGATCAAATCACGGACCGAAATCATGCTTTTGCTTGTAAGGGTTGGTCTCCTTGCCCGAGCGCATCATGCTGGCCAAGTCAAGAGACAGGGATACTCTATACAAACTGGAGCCCGACGACAGAGGCAAGACAGGGCGGGCGGGGTCGGTCCAGGAAGGGGTGCACGTATCACACACGCTCGCTCGCTCGCTCGCTCGCTTGCTTGCAATGACGCTATCCAAGCAGAGAAAAAAAAAAAAAAGCGAAACCGCGCGTCGAGCAGTGAGAAGAGGGTGTCGCCATCAATCACAAACAGCGAACGCGCTCACGGAGCTCGTCAATGCCATGCCCGAGCTTGATCCACATGGCCATAAAGGGTACAGCGTTGCAGCACCTGTCTCCTCCCTCTCACACACCCTCAATGGTCCATTCCTGATGAGCACGCTGCCGTTTCACATCAACTGTACCTTGCAAAAATAAAATTCAAAAGACGAAGATGAGAGAGAGAGAGAGAGACAGAGAGAGAGAGAGAGAGACAGAGAGACAGAGAGAGAGAGAGAGAGAGAGAGAGAGAGAGAGAGAGAGAGAGAGAGAGAGAGAGAGAGAGAGAGAGAGAGAGAGAGAGAGAGACAGAGAGAGAGAGAGAGAGAGAGAGAGACAGAGAGAGACAGAGAGAGAGAGAGAGAGAGAGACAGAGAGAGACAGAGAGAGAGAGAGAGAGAGACAGAGAGAGACAGAGACAGAGAGAGACAGAGAGAGAGACAGAGAGAGAGACAGAGAGAGAGAGAGAGAGAGAGAGAGAGAGAGAGAGAGAGAGAGAGAGAGACAGAGAGAGACAGAGAGAGAGGACAGAGAGACACACAGTGTTGGACACGCTTTTGGAGGCTTCTTGGGCCGTGCTCTGCCTTACTCTCGTTATCAAGCACAAGCGCGTCAGACATGACAGCCCATCTTCTGCCCCTCTGAATCACCCTCAAGCTGCTCTCTCAACCCACTGCCACTGCCACCGTCGCCACCGCCGCTGCCGCTGCCGTTTCCGCGCCAGTAATTTTGTTTATATTAAAGAGGTCAATTTCACATTATATATTTACAACATAGTGTGTGTTGAATAACACTTTGAAGTTGTTTGCGTGTGCATCTTCAACGCAGCGTCATCTGCTCGATCATCTTCTTCAATATGTCCCCATCATATACAACACATTATAAAGCATAACCGCAAAAATAACTGCATCTTCTTCCAACTTCTCTACATCATCTCCAACAGCTATGGCTTTCCCTTTTGCGTGTGTTGTATTTTTAGGGTCCGTTGGGCAGACCGCCACAAAGTGCGAGAGAGAGAAAAAAGTGAGAGAGAGAAAAAAAAAAAGTAAAATAGAAAAAGAAAACGGCAGCGCCCGCTCGTGTTCCTCGTGTGGCCCTCTCTCTGGCTCTGGCCTCTGACTACTGGTGGTGGTGCTGCTGCTGCTGCTGCTGCTGGGGGGGTCAAGCTTGAAGGATTGCATTTCTGGCGATAGCTGGTACGTGGTTTGGATGGCCTCGACCAGCGCCGGCTCAACCTCACGCGCTCGCTTGCTCGCTCTGTAGACCTTCTTATCTATCAGAGACAGACCGTATCATTCCCCGCAACAGGATGCCCGACAAGGAGGCAGCCTTTGCGGCCTCGGCATCATCCGAGGGGAGGGGGTCTCGGAAGAGCACGCCCGGCCATTCGGGCCGCACGTCCCCTCTGCTGACAACCACCAGCCACCCCGCTCCGCGCCGCTACTCCAACCTGCACAAGCGCAGCATCTCCGACGTGGTTGCCAGCCACTCGTACGACTTTGTTCAGCACGATGACGATAGCGTCGGTGCTCATTCGGACACAGAGCTCGACGGTCGCGATCGAGAACCCCCCTTGCCCAGCCGTGAGGGCCAGGTCGCCAAGTGGACCAACTACATCCACGGCTGGCAGGAGCGCTACCTTGTCCTACGTGATGGCACTTTATCCTACTTCAAGTCGGCCCAAGAACGCACCCGGGCCTGCCGCGGTTCCATTGATGTGATTGGTGCCGTGATCAAGGCCCATGACTTTGACGCCCTTCGTTTCGACGTCGTCGTCGGTGCCGACCAACTCTTTTACGTGCGCGCCACGTCAACCGCTGAGCGCGACGCCTGGGTCGCCGACCTTCGCTTGACCAAGGACCTCTTGCCCGATCGTCAGCCCTCCGCCCTCTCCCGCCGCCCCTCCACCTTTTCCCTGGCCTCGGGCACCTCGGCCAACTCGGCTCACGTCGGCACCTCCAACGGCCCTCGCATCTTCAAGGACAAGCTGGCCGAGCTCAAGTCCATTCAATCGGCCCTCGGCAAACAGGTGGGTTTTGCACCGCCACACGTTTGAAGACCAGGCTCAACTCGATTGCGCCCGCAGCCATTTTCTCCTGGCGTTGTTTTGTTCTCAACTCTTGTTCTTCTTTCTCATCTTCTGGTCACGTGGTCTCGGGTTGCCTCCAACGCAGGCCTTGAGCTTGCACACAAACCTTCAACAGGTCGTGGATGAATTTGGCGAGGAATCATCCGAGGGATCCCGTGCACGCGAGGCCGCCGAGGAGGCAGTGCTCTTCAAGGTCGCTGCGCAAGGCACCATGTCCGCCATTGAGGAAACCATTGCCCTGCTCATCAAGCGTGAGGAAGACTTGCACCGCCGCTATGAACGCGAACGCCAGAAGCGCAAGCAGCTCGAGGAAGAACTGGACACTCGCCCAGACATGCGCAATCTAGGTCCCGACTACGTGGAAGGCCCACACACCCTGCTTAATGATGACGAGTTTTATGACGCCTTGGAAACCGGCCTTGATCAACTCGAAGCCCAGGAACGCCATCGTCAAGAAGAAGAGGCTCGCCTTGAAAGCCAGCGCGCCCAGCAATCGGCCCTTCCCTCTCGCAAGACTCACCGCTTCACAGGCCTCGTGGACGAGCAGGTTGGCCCCGCTTGAAATGTTTTCTTGTCCTTGGTCTTCATCGTCTTTTGTCCGCTGCCCGATACGAGGTTGTGTGTGTCCCAGGCTTGCCGCTGCTGTTCCCTTTTGGGGTGTCTCATTTTTTCGCTTGGACTCAGCTCCAACATAGCCTGGCCTTGGCCGATGAAGATGTGGACGCCCACTGGGCCTTGGGTTACCAGGAGGGTCAGCTCAAGGTGTTTCGCCGAGAATCGGCCGAATCTGGAACCCCAACCGACCGCCTCAAGGCCTTTCATTACATTCCCGGCATTAGCGGTCGTGTGCGTTTGAAGCCATGCCCTTGCGTACCTGTCCCATGTCACGCAAAGACTTATCCAGTTGTACAACCCCCCATGTGCTTAGGAGCTTGCCGAGTATTTTTTCAACACTGACTACAAAACGGAATGGGAACGTGAGTTGGGCACTCCCCCGCCGCTCCGTGTACTTGCCTCCCGGTGGGGGTTGCTCATTCATCGAATTGACTGCGCACAACAGATACGATCGAGAGCTTCCGAGTGCTTGAGTTTCTGGATCAGCACACCAACGTCACCCACATGATCCATAAACGGGTGTGGCCCTCGGCACAGCGCGACTCGTGCTTTGTGTCACATTTTTGCCACATTAACGAGCACCGGTGCGTCTATCCAACCCGCTTGCGTGATGCTCAACCCTTCCTCTCGCGCCTCTCTTCTCATTAATCTGTTGCCGGCCGTGGCATGGCGTGGCGTGGCGTGGCGTGGCGTCGCGATGCAATGCAGTTGGGCCGTTCTGAATTACTCGGTCGATCATGACATGGCGCCGCAAGACAAGTTTGTGCGCCTGACTTGTGCCATGTTTCTCCTATGTGACACGGACATTCAAAGCCGGGACACACCACAAAGCCGCAAGGATGTGGGCTGCCGCATCACCTACGTGGCCTCGATCAATCCCGGAGGCTGGGCTCCCCCCTCCGTCGTCAAGTGCGTATCCGTCTGCAGCAACGCTTTTCCGCCATTATCGCTTTGGATCACGAAGCTGTTCAGCTCCTTGCCGTTGTTGGCTCACCCTGCGACTTGATTGCCAATCTAGGGCTGTATCGCAGCGCGAGTACCCCAAGTTTCTCAAAAATCTCGAAAAGCATGTTCTCAAGCATTACGAGGGGAAGCCCCTTTCGGTCTAAAAGAAGCTGTCAGAGAGCCTCAACCAAGCGGGGCTGGGCCATGGGCACCGCACGCGGACCCCAGACACTGGATTGCCGGTGGCGTTGCCCGTCCCAATCGTCACACGACGCTTGCTCCCTGTGTTTATTGTTTGCCATGCTGGCACTAATTGAGAAACTAAGTCTGATCTTGTGCGATGATCCCGTGATGTCATGTGCGCTTTCCATCGAGCCGTCAGTCAGCGTAGTCTCCAGCAATTTGGTTCTTAGCAGAAGGGAAGGAAAAAAAAAAACAAGAAAGAAAGGCACAAGCACAGTCAAGCAAGTTTCAGGGTTGCAACAACAGCAGCTACATCCTGCTGATGATCATCTGGAGTCGTTCGGAACAGACGAGGCAAGTCCCCCTCAGGGGCACTCATACACAAAAACGTTGGCGTCATCACCAACGCTCACGATGCGCTTGCCTTCCTTGTCAAAGGCCAGACTCCACACCTGCAAGCAAAGCACCGCACAGCGTCAGGGCACGACAACTCCAGACAACTCCAGACGACAGCAAACAGGCCAGTGTTCGTGAAAACTGGAAATGGCGCAAAGCAATGACCTGGTCGGAGTGATCTGAAAAAGTGTGCAGGCACTCCTTGGTGTCGATCTTCCAAACTTTGACTGTTTGGTCGCTTGAGCTGCGAGTGCACGTGTTGTGTGAGCTGCATACACCCGGGCTCTACGGGCGGCACACAAGTAAAGAGGGGCACAAAGGGGCGAGACCGCACCAAGAAGCAATGTGTTGATTGTCGGGAGCGACGACCACGGAGAGAACCCAGGAACCGTGGCCAGAAAAGGTACCGAGCAACTCCAGGCCTGCCTCTTGAAAATGCTTGATGTAGCCATCGTCACTTGCGGTGAAAAGTTGTTTGCTGTCAGGGGAAAAGGCCAGACTGCGGATGGGCAGAGCATGGACTTGGCGCTTGCTCACAACGGTGGCCTTTTTGAGGTCAAACACAATAACGTAGCCTTTCATGGTGGCGCAAGCCAGACGATCTCCACTGGGACTCTACACAACCCAGGCAAAAGTCGAATTGAGTCGCCCAGAGGATCAAGCCAGCAAAAGCCAAGGGCGCATGCGACAGGACGGCATACATAGACGAGGGCGGAGATGTAGTCTGCAGCCGTATCTAGCTCGGCCCGCTGTTCAAACGTGCCGACATCGAAAATATACACCTGTGCAGGGCCGCCAACACCAGGCGCACACCCCTTTATGTGAGCAGGCCGAGGCCCCTTGCAGAAGGCACCGATGAACTCCTCGTGTAGAGTCTGCGAGGGCGCACTGGTTGTGAAGCACAGAGGTCAACGATGTCAGGATGAGGGTACCTTGCCAGTGCTGGATCCCGCCGCGAGAAACTGGGCATCATGGGAGATGGCGACGGTCCAAGGTGTTGCTAGAAAAAGATTCATGGGACGACCAATGTCAAGGAAGGACGTGAGCGGGTGGAAAGGGGCCGCAATGGCTCTGAACCTTCTCTCCTAGTTGGCAAAGAGGCTGAGGAGGAGGTGCAGGGGTGCAGGGGCTAGGCTCTTACCGCCGTCAGGTGACATTTTGCCGAGAAGGCGGCCGTCATTCAGATTCCATGCCTTGATCTGGCCATCGATCGAGCTCGAGTAGGCTACCGACTTTTCCGAGTCGGTGGCGACAGAAATGACACCAAGCTCGTGGCCTTCAAAGCGATGAGCTTGTTCCAATGTCTTGTCCACGTTATTCCTGCAATTGTCATTCGAGTACAGAGACAAAAAAGGGCCAGGGCACAGGGCTTAGAACTTTAAAAAAAAAAAAAGAAGAAGCTAAAAACTGGGCCAACTGTTCAGCGTACCAGCGCCAGGCCCGCACGGTGTCGTCCACAGAGCCAGTGACAATGTAATCGTCGGCGTCTTTGGTGCACCACGACACGGTCCAAATGCCGTCGTCGTGTGCTACGCATGCGAACAGAAGAGCCACAGACACAGAGCACCATGAGAGATCAATGTGCAAACCCATCATCGCTCAACCCGCGCAAATGGGAAAAAAGCACCGAGGGGACAGGTGAGGGGAGCTTTGAGACCAAACCTTTTTGCTTCTGGCCAATGGTGCGAAACTACAATCAAGACACGTCAAGGGCCAAAGGCCAAGGGGACGAGTGCGTGAGACTGCATTCAACGAAACGGCACCCGCCTCGGTCGGTTGAGCGTTGAACGACTTTACCATGATGTCGGCGAGCCACAGACAGAACAAGGTCTCAAACTCAGCAAAAACAATTGCCCCGCTTGACACTCACTCACAAGCCGCGCCCAGAAAGTGCTTCCCTTTCCTTTCCTTCCCGTGCACAGCTTGCACAGCCCAAGATGCCGGACGACTCGCTGCGCCCCCACTGGTATCAAACCCGCCCGCTGCCGTTTCGTTTCCCTCTAAAAGATCAAAAAAAAAGTGTTTGTCTTCAAGTGAGAGAGAGAGAGATTTAGAGAGAGAGATGGGTAGTGAAGGGATTTAGAGACTATCGTCGAATCGTGTGAATGCACAAGCTTGTAGTCAAGGTGTTGACAGAGGTGCTGGCACTGTCACGGTACCGGCAGAGAGGGATCAGAGCTGCTTTCATCTGACATAGTCATCTGACATTAAGATGTGAAAATGTGAGAAATTATGCACCAAAAAACTCAACTTAACCTTTTCGCAATAGCACAAAAAGAGATCTGTAAGATAGCGATAACATGTTTGAACATGTTTCAGTTCGATTTGGTGTGTATGTGTGTGTCTCTGTCTCTCTCATTTTTTTTCTTTTTCTGCTGCGCGCGCGCTCGCTCGCTCTCTGTGTGACTCTCTCTCCTCATGCTCTCTCTCTGTGACGCTCTGACGCTCTGTCTCTCCTTTTTGTGACGGCGGCGGCGGCGGTGGGGTGTGGCTTACTGTCTGGGGAACTTGCAGTCATGGCCTCGCAGGATACGCTGCCTGCGTCACAGGAAACGGTGCCCGATGCCGAGACTGGCGTGTTCCCGCCCATGCTAACGCGGCACGGCTCGTCGTACAAACGCATGTCCATGCGCGACTTTCACGAGTACCTCTCTCGGATCAACAAGGATGGCGAGTGAGTGACTTGCCGGTTGATGTCTCGGCCGTGTTTGCTGGAGTTGCTGTGAAATCCTTGACTGTGATTCCGACCTCATGCCTCTTTGCCTCTTTGCCATGGATCTAGCATGGCCTCGGGTAGCATGGTTCGCCGTGATTGCATGATGCACAAGGATGGCTGGCAGCAAGTGGATGCCGAGTTTGACGTTGACATTGACATTTTGGTGGGCACCTGCTTACCCTTCTCCCCACTCTTATCCGTGGCTCGTGGTGAATGCATCGATCGATGCCCGTGAGGTTGGTCCGATCTCAGCAAGGTTTTACGTTTGTTATTCCTCATGGTGCAGGGGGGGCAGCTGCCGATGGATACGGAGCTGGTGGATTTGGAGACACCCCTGCCGGGCACAGGCCTGGACGACACGCCGCAAGCCTCGGCCAAGCCATGCGGCGCTTTGGAGGACTCAGGAGAACCTAACCCGGCCGGTTTCCGTGCCAACCTGGCCGACTCAAGCGTGGCTGCTGGCCCCGGTGCCCGGGCCATTGGCTGGACGTACTCGCCCATTCTCAACACCCTCTTCACCCCAATGGACTACTCTTGCCCAATCCGCTTTGCAACAAACGAGGTGCGGCTGGCCCGACTGACATGGGTCGCTGACGTTGCTACTGTCAGGGGGCGCTCCCATCCATGCACCATCCACCCATCTGTCGATGATTGCGCCTGACAAAAACATGCGCCCAATAGAGTGTTCCCGACCTCAGCCGCATCGTGGCCCATCTCGAATACACGCAAACAAACCAACGCAACTTTGTCGTCAACCGCTGCGACATGCATCGTCAAGGCGACTCTGGCCCCTTTGCTGAACACGTTCTTCGCGTCAACAATCCCCAAGCCAACTACCACCAACGCCAAGAGGTATTGGCGCGCCGCGCCATGGGCGTTTGCGTCCTGGTGCCTGACCTTCACTAACACATAACATGCCTTGCATTCACGACAGCGTCTGGCTGTCAGTGTGCCAGTGGCCAGCACACGCAGCGGCAAGGTGGAGCAAAACGAACTTTTTGAATGGCATTGCCTCACCTCTTGCGCTGGCGGCATCAATCGCCGGAAGATTCGGGTGGTCTTCCGCCTCATCGACCCTGACCAGTGTGTTTCATGCTTGCTGCCGTTTGCCCGTGCATCATCATGTCCATCTCGTATCCCCTTTTCTTGGGTCGCAATCGCACTCACTGTTTGCTTCGGTAATTGTGTGTGCGCCATGCGTGTCTCAGAAACGTCCTGGGCGTTCAGCACATCAACGTGCGCGTCTGTGCTTGTCCAGGTACAGTCATACATTTACCCCCTGGCCCTGACTACGCCCCTTCTTGCTTTGTTGTGTCTCTCGGCCGAGCGGTATCGGCACCTCAGCCAACGCCTGCCTTCCTTTTTGTCACACACTTGCCAGTGCGTGATCGTCGGACACATGAAAAGGCCCACGCCAAACGTGAGCAAGCCAACGACAAGCGCAACGTCATCGCGTCTGACCCCACTCCGAGCAAGAAGCCCAAGCTGAGTACGTGTCAGCTCCACCTGTGCTTGTGCTGCACCATACACACGCCACGGGGAAGTTTTGCCCCGACTGACCAGACGGCGTGCACATATGTAGAGGATCATCCCATCTCCATGGCCCTGCGTAAAATGCCCTCCGTATCGACCCTCTGTCAGATTGGCAGCGGCTTTGACCACGATCAGGACGTGCAGTACCTCGCGGTGCGTCGAACCCGCTCCCAGACCCAACCGCCCACCGACACGACCGGTTCCTCTCCTCGCCTCATCATGCGTCATCTTGCGGACAATGGGGGTTTAGATCTGCGGCCGTGCCAACTACGAAGTCGCCCTCAAGGTCCGCGACCAGCTCAATCAATCGGCCGGTCTTGGGTAAGCTTGACGGGCTTTTCGTCGATGAAGCTCAACCGTTACCGCACGCACGCACCCTGCTTGGCACCCTGCTTGGCACCTTACTCATGGCGCTCTTGTATGTTTCGTTGTGGTAATGCTGTAGGCGGGTGGCCGCTTCAAGTGTGCATCTCCCCCGCAGTGAGGTTACGCTGATTAAGCAACGTGTAGCCGAAGCCACCAACTTGGACGAGTACGTCACTTTGCACCACCATCTTGCTCTGCCAGAGGCGCATTTTCACCTAGCGTTGGTGGCGTCCCAACTCATGGCTGGGGTTTGGGACTTTGGTGGTGCAACTAGATTTCTGCGGGCCTGCAATCTGCAATCGCTCAAGCGGACGTTGGAAAATCTGGGCTACACAGACCTGCCCTTGATAGCCACGTTGGATGCACGAGAGATTGAGGAGTTGACTCTGACCAAACAAGACCAACGTCGTCTCAAGCTGGCCCTGGTCACCCTGAATGAGGTATGGGTCGGACGTCGCCAGTGTGCCGTGGGTGTACAGTGTGCCGTGGGCATGCCCGCGAGTCGTTTATGCTTTTGCATGCCATGTGCCATGTATTGTGTGGCTTTAGACGGACAAGGCGCAGGACCCGTACCTGGCCCGTCGAAGGGAGACCAAGCTAATGCGAGTGACCGTTCGCTCGACCCCGGGCCAAGCGCAGGCGGGCGGGGCTGGCCCCACCTCGCCTTTTGCGGCTGCATCATGATGTGGCGTCGAAGGCGGGATCTGTTTGTTTCAGTGTTGTGTTTGTGGTGTTGTCCGACCATGACAACAGATGCAGATGTGCATTGCGTTGTGTACGGCCTTTTGTCGAGTCTGGCGCAGGAACAGAAAACCAGAAAGTGCAAGACGAGCAAGTCGTTGTCAGGGGTCAGCCTTTTGTCTCCAAGGCGCGAGTTTACGTCTCTGGCCCAGCCCGCGTGGCCATGACCAAGACAATTGACTTGCTTGTCACCTCGTGTTCTCTCGTTCTTCAAACCCATGACAAGCATACTACGACCTGCACATCATCATCGTGGGTGTGTGTGCAGACATCAAATTGCTGACATTTGTGTAAGCAGTAGTAGCTTCATTAGCTTAGCTTCCTTTGGAACCTTTTGTTCATCTCTACGAGGGGCATCTCTCCGGTCAGACCGATCGACCGTGTGTGTGCACGAGGCTGCACTGTGACCCGAGCTGGCCTCACAAGACGGGGCTCCATATGCCCGCACTGTTTCCTTGACCTTTGTTCGCCCTAACTGACGCTAATCGCTCAGTCAGGGACGGTTGCCTTTGCGGTTTCTTTAAAAAAAAAAAAAAAGAATGAGTGAAACGTTCTCCTCCCTAAGGGAAGTTGGAATGATCAATGACTTGACACAGTGTATACAGCTCTGCGGTGCACAGGCAGGCGAGAGCCTGAATCAATTATTGGCGGTGGCCGCATGACCTGTCGATCACTCCCTTTCCAGCGCACAGCTGCTTGTCTTGCTCTGTGCATGAGAATTAAAGTCCATTTATATTTTTAAAGATTTTATAAGTAATTTCACAGTATTTCTGCCGGGAGCCCTGGTTATATGTTTGCCTCATTAGGTCTCGGTGAAAAGGGGTTTGAGCACTGCCTGGCTATTGAACATCACACGATTCGGGCGCATCCCAAATTCAGGGCTAAATCCATCATTTGAAACACGGCCCCAAACACAAGCGATAGCACAACCTAGAATGTCTGGCATCCGTTCTTTCGTCGCCTTAGCGCAGTTTAATCCAATGGTCACAGAAAAGCTTTGCTATGTCGGTTCTCTCGACTCCTGCTGGCCCTTACAGCCAGTTCAAGTCGCGCGTCGCGTCACAGAAGTAAAGTCCAACATGAACGATGGCCGGAGCGAGAGCAAGTGCTGCCTTCTCCTGTGCGCACATTGCAAGACGGGTGAATCTCATGAGCCGAAGCGACCGTGTCGTCCCCTTGTGGCATCCCAAGCTGACCTCGGCGCAAGCTTCCTTAAGCGACTTTTGGTGTCGTAGTCCAGTACATTTGGGCAACTTCCATCCTGATGGTCTGAGAGAGTCACACGCTCAAGTCACGCGTGCAGGTCACAAGACGAGCCGAGAGCCAGAGGGGTGAGGTGTCGATGGCAGCCCAATCTGGTCGAGCTCCGATAAGAGTCCAAACTACGACCTGTGAAACCTTGCTTCTTGCAAAACCAGCAAATGCTTGTGATTCATCTCGCGCTGGCGCCACAACCCGTGTGCTACATGATAGCAACTGTGCGGTTTGACCCTGACTCGACTTTCAAGTGCCACCGTCCCTCGTCCGCTCGACACTTACCCATGCGCACATGACAAGGGGGCTGTTGTGTTGGCGTGCTCTGCAACTCTCTGAATGGCTGTGCCATCCCTAGCTCATCGCAGACACAATGCCATGTACTTCTTCAGGCACCATGGATAGTGCTAGAAGGCCGCACGCAGTTTGGTGACTTCCGGTTTGTCAAGTGCTATGAGCTACATCGCCAGCAGCTGCACAAGGATCAAAGTTGTTCTCACCTTGAACGTTACGCTGGCCATCTCCTCAACTGCCCTCTCAGAGTAGAAAGGTTCTTACCGTTTTGGACCAGTGTGAATGTCACAAGTTCTTTACATGTGTGAGGGATGGCACGCTCCGCGCGAAGAAGCAGACCTCATCATCGCTTTTACGTGTTTGAGGCGGCTCCGTTTGCGCCTTAATGGTGCCCTGTATAGCAGACATTGTTGTGAAAGAAGGGCCCACAAATGCAATGGCGGCCGGACGACGTTACGTTGACCTATCTCGTTTTTCAATAGCCAGAAGAAGAAAATTACAGCTAGATCTTTTACGGACCTGTTTCCCGCAAACGGTCGCGAACCGTCTGCCGTTTTTCCATTGTTTCCCGCAAACGGTCACAAACCGTCTGCCCTTTTTTTGTGGGATGTACCACCATCACGTAGAATGGCAGGGGGCGATAGCATCAATCAAATCAAACGACACATGAAACCCCGGTCAATTCGTCTAAAAATAACGTTTTCCCAGCACAAGCTATCAGCTTTTGTAATGACTGAAAGCGAGTGATTGGCATTTACCAGCAACAGCGCAGCGGACACTTGATCGCCTCCCTCCTCTCTTTCCCTCTCTTTTCCCCCTTTTCTCTCTTTCCCTTTCTCTTTCCGTCTCTTTCCCTCTCTTTTCTCTCTCTTCACCAACCTCCGCCATGCCACCCAACACGAAACTGCTACAACGACTCTTGGCCAAGTTTAATCCCTTTTCCCCCTTGTCTCTCCGTTCACCACCACCCACCATGCCATCCAACACGAAACTGCTACAACGACTCTTGGGCAAGTGTTACGACATGAAGACGAACATGCTGGACATGCAGACCAAGGTTGGTCGCCTGGACCTTACCGTGGCCGCCATGAAAACGGACATGGCTGACATGAAGACCAAGGTTGATCGCCTGGAGCATAACATGGCCGACATGAAGACCGACATGGCTGACATGAAGACCAAGGTTGATCGCCTGGACCTTAAGGTTGATCGCTTGGAACTTCGCGTGGGCATGTTGATGGAGGCCCACGTGCGCAAAGTGGTTGCCCAAGAGCGAGGCGAGGAATGGACGCGCCACTACAACACGTATGCCCTCGACGGCATTACCAACCTGCTGATTGCCCCAAACGCATCGGAAAACGTTTCCTTCCACGTGAACGACATGACCAACAAGTTGGTGCTCGCTGCTTTGAAGGGCGCAGACGGCGGCTTGCCTGGACTGCTGCAGTGCATCGCCGAGGATTACCAACTCGCTGACCCGCCTGCCTTTGCCGCCACCGTGGACTTTTTCGAGCAAGCCCTCGCCTTTGTGACGGCGGCGTTGCAGGCGGAAGCCACCCGCCAGCACGGCCAGGACGCGACGAAGCGCGGCATTCTCATCGAGCTGCAACGGCTTTTGGAAGCCAACAAGGACATTGTGCAGACAGGCAGCGAAGACCTGACGCCACTCTTCAAGATCATCCGGACGAACTCGGGGCTGGCGTTGAGCCTCTTCTTTGCGATGCCTCCGCTTTTGGCAGTGCGCAAGAACTTGCCCAAGTACAAGAAGCGCTGGGCTTGGCGCTCCCTGGAGTTTGACATGCGCGGCAAATTCACCGCACCGTCGGCCCACCAGGCGGCCCGCATCGAGTTTGGCGAGGTCAAGTCCTCCGCCGCCAACCAAGGCGCCGGTCTTGAGCAGCTCGCTTTTCGGAGCCACGTACTTCGCCATGCTTACAGCATCATGGCTCCCAACAATGTGCTGGAATGCGCCCCGGTGCTCTACATTGAGTGCGCCAGCGTCGAGGAGGACACCGTCCTCAAGGAGAACGTGCCAGTTTGCATCATTCCCCTCCGAGGTCCTTTTGAGAGAGACGCTGATGCCAACGACGACGCCTTGCACGCGGCGGCGCCTGCGGTTGCGGTGGCTTGAAATGAGCGCCCGTAGAGCGCAAAACCGTTTCCCCTCCCTCTTCGCCAGCTCCGCTTTCCTCTGACGTCGCTTTAGTATGTTTCCATTGAGCTCCCTATTCATGTGGTCTGCTCGCTCGTCAGTGTTGAGTTTGTCTTGGCGTTGTTGTCTCTTCCGATGGTGGTTGTGTGAATCGTGGCCTTGTCTGTCCTAGTTTTGCGCATCGTGTCGGCGTCTTCGCTTTGATGTCTTTCTGCTCAACTTTTCGCTTGTGAATCTCGTTTGATTCGATCGACATGTTGCCCATTTCTTTCAATTCATGCCAAGAAGGGAATCGACATGAGACGTCGGGTCTTGGGGCGAGGGGGAGAAAAGTGACAGAGACAAAGAGCCGCAGACGCTGGAATGTAAGGGTTGCACAACCATAGGGAGTTCCCCTCCCATAGCAAAGCAAAACAAATTCACAACAGCAGTTCCACTTGTCATTCTTCAATTCGTCCTTGAAATGTAAAAGTCCTACTATCCACACCCTTTACACACTCAAGGGTGAGGTTCTTCCATCCCTGATGATGATGAGATTCCATTACACGGACACCGTCGGCGCTAGTTGGGCTGATGATGTCACACACCCTTGATCGTAATCATGCTTGTGAGCAAACATGCAAAAGGGAAGCCGTATTGTTTCGATCCTGAGCGTACTACGCATTCGTGTGCCTCGGACCACTCGTCTTCGAGAGTAGCAGCCTTTTACTAAAAGGCTGCTACTTATGAGCACGTCCCATGTCATGATGGCCTGTACACTCGCATCACATGGCTCGGTTGAGTCGGTCGAACCAAAGTTGCACCTCTTGGCGCCTTTTGTTACATGTGGTAGTTGTGCTATGTCTCTCTGCCTTATTTCTCTCTCAAAATTAAACTCTCAAGCTCTCTGTCACTCTCTCTCTCTCTGTCTCAAACTCTCTGTCTCAAACTCTCTCTGTCTCTCTCTCTCTCTCTGTCTCTCTCTTCCTCTCTCTCAAACTCTCTCTCTCTCTCTCTCTCTCTCTCTTACACACACACACACACTCTCTCTCTCTCTCTCAAGCTCTCTCTCTCTCTCTCTCTCTCTCTCTCAAGCTCTCTCTCTCTCTCTCAAGCTCTCTCTCTCTCTCTCTCTCTCTCAAGCTCTCAAGCTCTCTCTCTCTCTCTCTCTCTCTCTCTCTCTCTCTCTCTCTCTCTCTCTCTCTCTCTCTCTCTCTCTTCCTCTCTCAAACTCTCTTCCTCTCTCTCTCAAACTCTCTCTCTCTCTCACTTTCTCTCAAACTCTCACTCTCTCTCAAACTCTCTCTCCTCTCTCTCATCTTGTGAGTGTGGCACATGCAGACCTTGGGTTCTGGAGCGCTTCGGAGGCATCGGCTGCATTTTTTACTCTCCGTCAACTCGGGAGACGGTGCTGGGGGGAGCAAGTTTGAAGGCTAGTGCGTGAACCACTGTCACACACATACTCATCACACGGCCTGTTGTCAACGCGGTTCGTTCCGTCCCGGGTCTGGTTGAAGTCAGTGTGTCAGTGAACGTCGACAAGGCAAGCAAGCACGGAGAGCTCCGACGTCAGGATGGAGCAGCAGGCATATCCCGATCGCGCGCTGGCCCCCGAGGTCATTGCCGAGCGCCTTCAGGAGATAGAGCAAGCCATTGGCTACAAATGGGAGGGCCGGCCCCTTCGTATTGTTGGCATAGGTAGGCATTCCCCATTGCGCTCGCTCTCCATCGAATTTCCAGGCTCGCCACCCCGAGCTCGTCTGTCGCTAGTCCAAACCAAGTCTGGCTTGGAACGGACGCATGCCGTGCTCCAGAGCGTTTGAATCTCATCAATTCTGCTGTCATCGTGCTCGTCTGCAGGTGCCGGTGCCTGGGGTGCCGTTGTCGTGGCCATGCTACAGCAAATGTACGGCAGTCAGTCCGACAAGGTGGACATTCGCATTTGGCGGCGCGGCGGACGCATTGTTCCCAAGGAAACCATCGCCAGCCTCTTGACCGTCATCAACCAGCACGAAGACGTTCTACGCCGCCTGCGCAACAACAGCGTGTACCTGAAATACATTTCCGGTCGCCTCGGTGACCGCGAGCTCACAGCGGATGAGATCCTACAGGACGGTCTGTGTCTCAACCTGCCCAAAAGTCCGCTCTGCCCTCTTCGTGTCATCACCAATCTGGAAGAGGCCGTCTACGATGCCGACATTGTCATCAACGGCCTCCCCTCCACCGAAACTCGCTCCGTCTTTCAAAAGATTGGCGACATCTGGTCCGCCTCCCGCGACCCTAGCCGCCCGCCCGTCATCATCTCCCTGTCCAAAGGCGTGGAAACGCGCATGGAGCCCCACCCTCACGTCGTCACCCCCACCCGCATCATTCACGAAGTCACCGGTGTTGGGCTTGATCGCCTCATGTATCTAGGTATGCGCGCCCTCGCCTCAAATGCTCGCTGTCCCTCTCGATGTTCTGCTCATCTCCTGCACCACTGGACGTGTTCCCGCCATGACTCTCACAGGTGGGCCAAACATTGCGGCCGAGGTCTGGCGAGGCGAGTTTGCCAATGCACGGTTATGTGGAGCCAACAAGCCGCTTCGCAAGGCCATGGCTGAGTTTCTGCGCAACTCCAACTTTGTCTGCTGGAACAATGCGGATGTCATTACCCACGAAGTCCTGGGCGGCCTCAAAAACGTCTACTCGCTCGGCATGGGTATCATCACTGCCGCCACCAACGACTCGGCCACCTCCAAAGCCGTCTACTTTAGCAATGCCGCGGCTGAGATGGTCTTTATCACCCGCCTCCTCTCTGAGCGCCCTGAAGATCTGCATGGGCCCCTACTCGCTGATACCTACGTCACCTTCCTCAAAGGCCGCAACGCTTGGTACGGCGAACAGTTGGGTATGTTTGTCCATCTTTGGGTGTGCCCGTTAAAATCCATCAATGCCTGGCCATGCCCTCGACCTGTGCACCTCGCCGGCGTGATTGGGACGAATTTCGCCTCATGCTAACGCACGCTGCTGGTACACGCATCAGGACGGGGCCGGCTGCACCCGCGCGACGGAGACGTTGTGCCCGGCAAAGGTCTGATTCAGGGCGTGTCTGCCACGCACGCCTTCTTTGAACTTCTCTCTGATGACCGGGTCAAGGTGAGTTTTGCCCAAAGTGCCTAATGAAGAGCAAAAGTCCTTTGGACTTGGGCACGTCGCGTAACAGTCAAGTGGTGTGTTGCCCCTTTTGGTCATTAGATTTACGATCACGTCACCCACAACGAGGTGTCGCCCATCACGGCTCTACCAACCATGCGCATGATCCGCAAGATGCTGCTGACAGAAGGTGACATGGCCGAGGCTGCCAAGAGTTTTCATCAGGCACGTATTTGCGCTCAAGCCAAGCCATGGACCGCCTCCCTCGCCCCCGTGGCTCTTGTGCTTTGCATTCATCGTGGCAACTTTCATTCATTTTTTTTTTCTACACACTGTTTGATGGAGAGCAGGATATGAAGGATACGTCCAACACGGATCCAGCCAAGCGCTTGCGCACGACCGAGCTCTACTGCCCCTTTTTGACTCGCTTGCCGGGCGAGCTGGTGGACAATGACGAAGACGATGATGAGAACAACTTTTCCCTGGTGACACCTCGTCCCGCCGAGGGCGCCGCGCAAACTTTCAACCTCGACGCCGTACCTGGACCCCCCACGCCCCACGCCAAGGTCGTGCCACCGGTGGCTCCTGCCGAAGCTCCCCCGGCCGCAAACACTAGCCTCAACTCTTCCCGCCGCTCAAGCTCGAGCGCAGCCCTATCATCGCGCTCACCCGGCGTCCGCAAAGGCAATTTTGACAGCGGAACGACAGTGTAGCTTGCGGCTTGTGAGATCTTGTAGCGGCATTCAGACGAGCGGAAAGAACTTGGTCGCGCAAGGCATGATGCTCCCATTCTCCTACCTTTGCAAAAGAGATTTTCTTCAGATTGACATGAATTGAACATCATAGATAGGAGCTGAACCGCCACAATCGCACATCCCATGCAGCTTCCAACCTTGGAAGCAATAACAGTTACTCAAAGCAATAATGAAAGGTTTTTATCACAGTTTAGGTCAATTATTGTAATATTGCTGGCCATTTTGCTCGTCTTTTACGTTTACGACCGCGGGGCAATTGAAGACCAGGTGAAGGTTGTTCCGCAGATGCAACGCATGGCGTCGCAACCGTCTGACCCTGAAGGCACACAAAATAGCAGTGCGTTGCAACCGGGGGTTTCTCGATGAGCAACCTCAAAAAAGAAAAAAAAAAAAAAAGCGAAAAAAAAAAAAAAAAAAGCGAGAAACAAAAGCAAAAATAACAGTGTCATGACTTTCAGCTTACGTTCAATGGGAACTCGACAACTGGGGCAAAACCGGCAATGTTGAACAAGAGCTTCGTAATCGGCATGAAAATCATGCCGCATGGCCTTGAGCTGTGCTTCGTGCTGCGTCTATAAAGCGTGGCATACAGTCATGAGCCCGACCAACCACCTCACGCGATCCCGGTGGCTGAGCCGACGACACACCTTCAACAGCTTGGTGTAGCGGCCAAGAATGATGCAATCGCGCCGCAGGATGCCTCGTACATCGTCGGGGTAGAAGACATAGCTGCATGAACCAGTGCATTGTTGCAGACAACGCAAGTGAGCTTGCCACGGATTGGTACTTGAATGTTAGCCAAGTCACGTGCGACGCTGCTGGTGCTACTGGCGTGCTTACGTGCAATCGGGGAAGGGGCACCGTACAGTCGTTTGTCCGCCTTCGACACAGGCTTTGGCATGCCGCTGCACGACAGAACGCGAGAAATCGAACACAAATCAAAGGTCAGGGCAAGCAACCAGCCAAACCTGCCAATGTTTTGCAGAAGCGGGGCAGGGTGGCATGTGCGCGGCGGCCATGACGAGACGATGTCACATACGAAGCGACAATCCTTGCAGCAACGATGCCGGCACACGGCCTTGGAGTAGTGCTCGCCGCCACTGGTCTGGCGTCCCATACCAACCTGTCGCAGAGCATTGTGCACATGAGGCAGGGCCCAGGCTGAGAAAAGGCACAATGGAACTCACCAGACTGGCAAAGGCAATCTGCTCTTCGCAAATGCGACAAGAGATGTCACCCGGGCGTAGGCATGTAAATAGTGTGTTGAATTCACGGAGGGCACGCAAGCCCTCGCGTCGTGGCGCAAGCGTCAAGAGCATCTCCATGCGCAGCTCCTCCTATTGCACACGCAGCAATTCACATCAACAAATCGCTCCCCATTGATCGAAGAGATTCCAAGCAGGGCCGATTTACCTCAAAGGCCGAGTCGCCCGAGACTAAAAGCACGACACTAGCATACGGGAACCCCTCGGCCCCCCATACAGGTTGATGCTCTCGCAGATACGTCAGCAAGTGGGACCCAACCCCTGCTCGGTACAGACGGGCAAACTCGTCAGGCGCGGCATACTTGAGCTGCAGTAGCACAGTGATCGAGTAGTAATCAACGGGCGCGTCTTGCAGCTGCTTCAAGAGGTCAATGTCATTAGACACGGCAAACATGCACAAAATCTTGAGTGCAGAAAACGCGGACCGATCCGCCAAATTCATGGGAAGTGCCTCGGGCATGGGCAGACCAGCCAAGAGCCCGACTTCACGGCGCAAATGTGAGTTCAATGTGAGCACCTCCCCTTCAGTGGGGGTGCACATTTTAAACAGGCTGACAATGCCTTGTTTGAGACATTGTTGCTTGATCCAAGCCTCTAGGGTTGTCTGTAGCACGCGCTGAGCAGCACGGGTGTCGGCGTCTGCCTCAGGCAGCGTCTGATCATAGACGTGGGGCAACCAATGGGCGGCAGCCTGGACCACGACCAGAGCATATTCATCACAGATCAAGCCATTAGCCTGGGCGCAAACAACCTCCCAAGATGTTTGGGGTTGGCCACCAAAGCTAATGCGAAGACAAGCCTGCACAAGGTCCCACTGGTCTGCAAAATGTTGAACAATCGTTGCAAGCTCGATGGCACTGAGAGGAAAATGATTTCGCAGATACATGCGAGCCAATTTCGCTGCCAAGGCAGGATCCTCGTTGATCCAGCGGCGAACAGGGCGCTTCTCAGTGGCCCAGACTCGCATCAGTCGTGCCATGATGGTACACTCCTATGTTTTGACGACAAAACAAGCAAGGATCAGCCCAAGACAAACTCTCACCGCGTTTCAGCCCCCCCGATCGTCGTGGCCTCAGGTAACCGCTGATGAGTTTCATACCTTGAAGCGATTGGTCATGGCATAATGCTGACAGGCCATTTGCACAAAACAGACAAGCTGCTCATGGCGCTCGACATTGGGGCCCAGGTGGCGAAGGACTTGATCGAGGCAATTATCGTCGAGTTCGACCAGAGGTATGTCGGCATCCATCAAAAGCTGCAGGCCGGCAAGGCCCATTCGCTCAAAGCATCCCCACAGCAAACACTTGTAGACATGCTTGCGAACAGGGCTTGCAGCAACCACCTCACGCAGCCAAATGATTGTCGCGTGCGGCAGCGAGCTGGCGAGCTGTTCATTGTCACCATCGCCGGCAGGCTTGAGGGCCTTGATCTTGGCCGTGATCAGATCCTCAAGGGTGAGGCGCGCGCGAGCGGTCATGATGCGGCAATCTGACAGACAGACGCAAAGCTGAGCAGGCTGCATCGCACAAAGGATTTGAGCAGCACTTGTCTCGTGCAGCGCGAGCTTATGGACGGCTGGCGTGTTCAACTCGGTCGTGGCAAGCAGAAACAAGGCTGAAAGAAAGTTGGGCTGCTGTGCAAGGCGTGGCAGGAGAGCTTGCAGCACGCGACGCGGTTCCCGCCCAAAGAGCAGGGCAAACCATGCCGGCGCCTCAGCCGGCAGCTTGGTTGCTAAATCGTCCGTCGCCTGCAGGGCTGTATCGAGCTTTGAGAGAGTGGCATGGAGCTGGGACTCAGTCAAGGCCATCGCGCCCGAGGTCAAGCGGCTGACAAGATAAGTCATCTGCAACTCTGTGGCTTGTTTCATGAGCACGTCGAGTTGATCCGAGACCTCCAGCGAGCCCTGGTCCAGGAGACGCAGCTGAGTAGTAAGCTCTGCTTGGAAGGCACGTAGACGCTCCAGTTGGGCCCGAGCTGCACGGACATGCCGGACCGCTGAGAACCACCGCTGAATTTTGGCAGCTGCGGCTCTAAAATGTCGAGTGCATTCGCGCACAGGGACCAAAGTGGTAAGAAACAGGCACAGGCACACGTTGAAACCGATGTTCACAACAAGCAAGATACGTACTCGCGACGATCCAGAATGCGGCGGGCTGCAAAGGCCGCGAGGACCGGGAGCAGTACATGGCCAGCTAATAGCCGGCTGGTAGCCTCGTGTTGGTGTCGTCGTGCCAAAGCAAAGGGACTTGGCGTGCGATTGCAGGTATCGTTCAGGTCAGGAGTGTGGGCTTGTAGGAGCAACTGGCACACATCAGTGGCACCTTGACGGGCTGCTAGGTGTAGCAACGAAAGGCCGTCCAGGCGGGGCGGAACCAGCAGGCGTGTCAGGTCTGCGGGCTGGACGTGGGAACGGGCCGCCTGTAGCAGTAGCAGGGCCACGTCATGATGACCAGCTTCCAAAGCGGCTTCAATGGGTGTCGGCACGGGCCCTCTTGATGAGGGGGCAGCAGCGCGAGACGGTTTTTGACCACGACTCGACGGGCGGCTTGTTGAACGGCCCGCTTGAGGGGCAAGTGCGAGGGTTGGGGTAGAACGTTGGGGACGTAACCGCGAGCGAGGCCCCGCTTCCTGGCTGGAAGCGGCATTTGCTCGCGGGTTGGCTCGAGGTGATGCCTTGGTCGCGACCTTGGCGGTCCGCGCCTTGGCTCGAGGCGGCAATAGAAGAGTGGCGATGAGCTCTGGATTCAGCTCGAGAACTAGCTGCACACGCTCCAGGCGGCCATGCTGCGCCAGAAGGGTGAGCACATTCATGCCATCCTTGTTGGTAGCCAGCAGAAAGGCCGACGCTTTGCTAACGAGCCAGCGGCGCAGCTGGCCAAAAACATCGTCAGTCGTGTCAACCCAGCAGGTTGCAATGAGAGTTTGCCCATGTTCCAAGTAATCGACGAGCTGCTCCTGATTACTGCGACTCACAAACGCAGGCAACTATGCAACCAGGGCCGAAATCAGCCGTAAGCAAGGCGATGGCGGGTCGCGGGTCGAGGGTCACACAGGTGCAAGGACGTGAGGAAATGATGAGTGGTGAATTGTGGGTGCCAACCAACCTTACGAGGCTCCTGAAGAAGAAATCCACGTAGCGTCGCCACAACGCTCGGCACCAGCTGTCGCTGACGCTTGTCCAAAACAGCCTGCAGCGCGGGCGATCGCCCCGCCGCAGCACCGGTGCGAGCTGGCATGGCAACAAGCCCTTGCAAATAAAAAGCCAAACACTACCAACACCGACAGCCACTCTGCCACCCCCTGCCAACTGCTTGTTCACACCGTCGCTAAACCAGTTCCGTGTGTCGTCGTCTGCCGTCTGCCGTCCGTCGTCTGCAGTGTGTGTGTGTGTGTGTGTGTGTGTGTGTGTGTGTGTGTGTGTGTGTGTGTGTGTGTGTGTGTGTGTGTGTGTGTGTGAGTAAAATGCGATCGCGTCGTCGCGTTTCGCCGTCAGCGTCCGCAGTCTCAAAATAGCCTGACAGTGCGCGCCAATATTGGCCTCTCCCAACCCCTCTGGTGTTCCATCAAAGGTTATCGTAGTGGTATATTAGGTTATTGCAGTTGTCTAATAGTAAAAGGCTTATTAGTGTTGATAGTTGATGTCGTGAAATAAAAGGTTTGTGATGCGATTGAGGATTGCTTGTTTCAGATTCGACGCACACACGCACATCTGTTTGCTCTGGTCAACATGAAAAGGCATCAACGGCTACTGGGTGAGCACGTCGGTCGGCTTGCTATCGAGAAGACGACTGATCCAAGTATGAAGCATGCCTAATGGTCATGTGCAGAGCCGGCGCGATGGTACTGACTGAGCACACAAGCCCGGTGCGGGATGCTCGAAGCGTGCACTATCTTCTGCGGTCCACATACCCGAGGTCGCCACGAGACCGCCGATGATGCCCGACAGGCGAATCAAAAACTGGCTAAAAGACCGCGGCTACGTGCATGGATGTCCCATTAGCCTTTGGCTTGACGCGGCAGCATACGTTTGGGCGCTGTCTGCTTTGATCGGCCCAAGCACGACAAACCTGTTCATGGACCAGGACGCCAATAGGCTCAATTTCATACTTGAAATGAATGCCTGAGTCAACAGCCACAGGTTGGCTCAGATGAACTGCGTTTCTTGAGCGCATCAAAAAAAGTAAGGGTCAAGTCAAACCAAACACCCGTGAGCGCACCTGGAAGCTTGCGTTCGTTAGCCGCCAAAATGTGGTGTTGCTCCGTCACAGAATATTGGTTGGATCGAAAGGGCTCGGCCTCGTCCATGCGTTTGGTCGTCGTGGGAACCACCTTCAGAAAGTACTGGAACAATTGCTTGTTCGAGTCGGATACCTTCATGTCACCATCCAACGCCATGGCCCCTCGTTGCTCCGAGCTGAAGGAGAAGCGGTCAATGCGGTGGCTAAAGTTGATAGCTGCGTAACATTGGGCAGCACCAAGGTCTGACATGAGGGCCCGGACGCTTGGCCACCCTTTGAAGAAGAAGACGAAGAAGAAGAAGGAGAAGAAGAAGCGAGTGCATGGGACAAGCCCGTCCGTTTGGCTCGACAGCGTAAGCCAATACCAGGCACAACTGACTCTTTTGGTTGGGGTCAATCGGCACGTGGGCGTGGCCCGAGGCGTGGTGAACACTTTTGCCCGCGGAAAAGTGAAAGTTGGAGGATACTCGCGCGACGGGCATGGTGCCATGCACCCGGCAGCCATCGGGCTCTGCGTCAATCTCTGGCGCCCTGCACGGGGCACGTCAGCGTGACAGATTGTCCACGCCAAGGGTGAGACCTTGTGGCGCTTGAATGATGGGCGAGCCCTGCACAGTCGCATGACGTACGCAGTTGGCATTGGCTCACGCTTGGATCCATACAGGAAACGATGAAGCGAGTCCAACCCCTTGCTGCCCTCCTGAGCCTTGACCTCGGCCCATTGACTGCGATATTCAAGGCGTTCAGCGGAGCAAGGTAAGTGGAAGCAGAGGTTGAGGCGTGGGCATCCGGGGAAACAGGCAGCGGTCATATCCTCATTTCGCCGTGATCTACGCAGGCGTGCCGTCCCCAGGGCCCGATGCTTACTCGAGCCATTCTTGTTGGTTGGGGGAGAGCTTGAAGTGGGCTGGCTCCACCGCCATAAACTGTAGCGCATCGGTCGACCGGCCCGAGACGTCAATGTAATCCACCCCGAAATTCTCACAGGGCATGGCGATGGTCATGTCCACCGTCAAGTTCATATGCCTAGGGTGTTATCGCCAGAGAGTAGCTGGTGAGACCTGCTACCGTATAACGAGGGCCCGTGGACCACGGCCGCACGTACGGATCGAGGTCCGTGTCCACCGCGTACTCGTACACCACATCCACCTAAACTCAATCCAAATCACCATATGCCAGTGCACATGCCACATCATGAGGGTGCCCAGGCCTGCAGTGCTTGGCATTGCAAATCATGACCGCACCGTGCGATAATACATGAGCTCGGTAAAGATGAGGCCGACAATGGCCAACCCGACAATGATGGTGACTGCTCATCGTAACAGCCGTGGGTGAGTCAAGATTTGGCGTCTGTTGCAAGCATCGATCGCCAGGCGGTCCTGCGCGGTTTCAGAGGGTGTAGCAAGAAGCAACGAACCAACGGCACCGGAGATGGAGGTCGTCTGAATGTCCATGTCGGGCTCCACTTTGGGGAACACGTCCAGCTGCTTGACCTGCTCCTGCAGGCGCTCACGTCGATTTAACCGCCGCATCGCGCTGGTCACGAGCCACCCACAGCAGCACCGTTCCCTTGGCCCGTATCTCCCTACCCAAGCCTCGTTACAGGATCGCGGCTTCCCTAGGAACACGCACACGCGCACACGGCGCTCCTCACTGAGCTGCCCGGGAGAACGGGGGCTGCCGTTTCACAAAATCAACGACAAGCGGCAGAGCGATGACACGGAACTGGGTAAAAAGCAGAGATGCTTCCTTTGAGCGGAGCGCCACTGGTATAGAAACCCTGCATAAACAGAGATGGGAACGAATCAGCGCTCAAGGTCAGAGCTCAAGGTCTCTATCCCAGTCTTCTGGTCTCTTCCCTCAGTCCCCTAGTCTTGCCTTTATCTGACATTTAGCATGATCTTTCTGACATTTGCGATGTTTTTTCTGACATTTTGTTCCCTGCAGACGATTCATTGAAATGAACAGAGAGGGGGTGTGCCTGATCTGGAATTTGGTGTCGGCCCCACAGGTTAATCACTACTGGAAGAAAGCGTCTAGGCTGTCGTGTGGAGGCAGTTGCGTGCGAAAGATTCGGCCATCCCGTCGGGCAGATTACGCCCGATAAAGACCATTCGCGTGATGCGCGGCTCGGTGGGTTCCCACTCGCTCGTCGTTGTCTAAGCAGCAAAGCAAATCATCCCGGGTGGTTATTAAGCATCGAGCACATGGCCAATATGCAGCAGCGAGTGCGCCTCACCTTGTCGTACAACTCGCGAACTGCTTGGAAAATGACACGCTTATCTTGGCCATGGATGGCCAAGACGCCTTTGGCACGCAAGACTTCAAGACCAGCCACGGCCTGGCCGTCGAGCATGCCCTCCCAGAGCAGCTGCTCCAACCAGCTCTCGACTGCGCGTTCATCCACCGGTCCGGCTTGTTCAAAGGTCACAGTGCGAACCTGTCGATGGGCAGAGCGTGGCACGGTGTGTGAGAACAACGACGCTCGCCGTGGCAGGCCAATCGCCAGCAGTGAGTGCTCAGAGCACCCTTGCATCAACGCACGGTGGCATCGTCGTGGGTGTGGCCTTGTTGCGCCGCTAGCACAGCCTCGGCCTTGGTTTGGTCAAATGCCTGAATGCCCAAAACAAAGTCCATGGGCACCCTGTTCGCGTTGAAAGCGTCACGCGCACAATGAGCTGCAGGTGCAGGGTGCAAATGGTTGAAGAGTGGGCATTGGCGGAGGACATACTTTGCATATGATGTCTCGACAATCTGGGCGAGCCCATTGATACCTTGCACGGCTTGGCGCAGCTCATCGCGTTCTGCCTCGCTGACGAGGTCAATCTTGTTCAAAAGGATACGGTCGGCCAAGGCAACTTGCCTGCAGTGGCACCAGCGCGTGTGCACAAGTTATATTTTTCAGATATTGGAGGTCCCACGTGTTGCGCTAGTGGCAGCAAAAGCAGGGCGAGGCATACCGGACGGCTTCGTTCATGACATGGGCAGGTCGCTCCTCCTTGAGTTGCTGCAAGCCATACTTTGCGTCCATGACTGTCACAACACCTAAGGCCCCGAGAAAACAATTTTAGAATTTTTTGGACAACGATGGCACAGCTCGTGGTACCTGGGGTGTGGCATAAGCTGTGAGGCAGAAAAGGACGAACCATCAAGCTTGACTTGGCTGCAAAGAGCATCGTCTAGCCAGAACATGGAGGCAATGGGGCCGGGGTCGGCTAGACCGGTTGTTTCCAGCACAACGTAATCAAAGCGACCCCTCTTCTCCATCAGGTTTTCAATGGCTTTGACACCCACATCCCTGTCGGCGTGGCACGGATCACGAGAGAGACGAGGCAAGCACAGAAATGAGGTCAAGCAGAGCTGGTGAAAGCGTGTTGTGACGCAGTATACTGGCGGAGAACATACTTGACACTGCAGCACAAGCACCCATTGCGCAGCTCCAGCCATTCCTCAAAGAGCTCGCCCTCGGTTCCCACAGACATTGACTTTTCCACGGCACTTCCCTCGCCAAACTCGTTGAGGATGACGGCAATCTTGTACCCGTGATTGGCAGTGAGCAAGTAGTTGAGCAAGGTGGTCTTGCCGGCACCTGTCAGAGAAGCAGAGCAGCGACACCGCCCAGTCAGACGGCCAGTGGAACCGCAAAACGAACGGAAACGTCAAAAGCGATTGAAGAAAATAAAGCAGAGCAAAAAAAAAAAAAGCGAAGCGGCAGCCGGGGGTCAGACCAGATGCCGTGTTCCCCAGGCCATGGGGTGTGAACCGAACCGTCAGGCCACGGTATGCCAAGCAAGCGTACCTAGGTATCCAGTGAGGATGGTCACGGGCACGGGTTTGGCATCGACTTGGTCTGCTGCAACAGGCACAGCGGCACTGCTGCTGGGTTCTGCTTGACTCAAAGGCGCTGGCACAAGCTCAGGCGGCACGTAGCTCCCAGTGGCATCCACAAGCGTTGGCACACCCTCATCGTCCTCGTCACTACTCGCCATCGCTACCTCACCAAGTTAACGCCCCTCCTCCCTTCTCGCACGCTCCACCAGACACACTGACATGCGCGCGCGCAAAAATTAAAAACTTTATGAGAGAGAGAGAGAGAGAGAGAGAGAGAGAGAGAGAGAGAGAGAAAATGACGCAACAGCTTTATGTGTGTGTGTGTGTGTGTGTGTGTGTGTGTGTGTGTGTGTGTGTGTGTGTGTGTGTGTGTGTGTGTGTGTGTGGAGTCCTGCTGCTGCTTATGGCACTTGGTCTTAGGGTGCGTGCAGTCGCGCCTGTGCGCTCTCTGCGCGGGTGTTCCATAGTTTGATTGTACATGGATCAGCGTCAGGTCCCCCCCGCTTCCTCATCTGTGTGCGTACCGATGTGCATGCACAAGCCTTTGCGTCGGTTGCAGTTCCTGTATGTCAGTTCATCTGGGTGTTGTCTGGATTTGTGCTGGGATGTAGATCATGACAGTGTGGCGCCTCTGCTCGTGGCTTCGGATGTGTCCCTATGTAGGTAATTTGGAAGGCAGCTTGCTGCCTTGCTCATGCTAGCGCCGTCCATGAGATACAAGTTGTAAAGGATAATTCGTATTCTTACTACATGTATTCAGTGTCTTTAGATTTTGGCTGGGTGCAAGCCGTGGCAAACCGATTCTAGGGTGTTGGCATCGGCGCAAGACTGGGACAGGCGGCGGGTGTCACGTTTTGAGCCGTGCCGCTAATGTCCGAACAGGTCCAACCTTGCTTGCCCGTAATGTGCACGTTCTGAAACCGGAGGGCCCGGAACTGGCTGTTGGGCAAGCCCACCTGGTGGAAACGCACGCGCCTGAGAGAGGGTGGCACAGAGCTAGTGCTGCAATGCTAGCGATAGGATGCGGCACCCGTACCAGTTCAGCAATCTGGGTGTTGTTGCCTCCGCGCGCGTTGATCAGGCTGATATTGTACACGTGCGGCGTGGCCAAGGGGTTGTAGCCCGCCGGATGACCACCGTAATGGCCATTGTAGCCAACAGCCAGCTGTATCGAGTTCTCAATAACCACGTCCTCCACTGTGACGTTGACAACATAGCCACCTGAAAGGATGCCCAGGCGCTGTGGGTCAGGGTTTTGCGAGACGGGACGCATGTGCGCACACCCTCGCCACGTACCGCGACCCATGCCCGTTTTAATGCGAAAGCCCTGCAAACACCCCGTCATGGTGATGTTACGGGCAAACACGTTGGCTATACCTCCTGACATCTCTGAACCTGTTTGTCGCAGAGCACGAGTGCAGAACACGAGGGTGACTGTTCACTGGGTCGGAGCATGGCTCGGCACCCTCCAACCATGTCTTTGTACAGTCGGTGGACATACCGAGGCAGATGCCCGCAGCGTTGGGGGAGTGGAAGACACAGTTTTCAATGGTAATGTTGTTGGAGGAGATGTTGACCGTATAGCCGTAGACGTCCCAGCCGCTTTTGATGGCGACCGAGTCATCGCCAGTGCTAAAGTAGCAATCGCGAATCACGACGTCCCGGGTGGAGTCGGGGTCCACGCCATCCGTGTTAGGTGAGTAGGGGGGGTTGAGAATGGTCAGATCTATGGCGCGAAAGTCCTGAGAGTAGACGGGGTGCACCGTCCAGAAAGGACTGTGTGTCAAGGTGAGATGGGACACCTCCAGCTGACGAGACCACATGACCTCGTACAAGTGGCCCCGGGTATAGACCTCTGTGCCATTGTTGTGCCGCGCCCACCAAATCTAGGGGAACAAAGTGGAGTCGTGGAGTGAGTTGCTGACGGCGATTCGCGGGAGTACAAGGCTTATCAACTCGGATGATGGGCTGGTTTGAGCATGACGTGGGGACGCACATCACCCGTGGCGTTGATGGTGCCGTTGTTGCCCGTGACTGTCACGTCGGTCAGATTGAAGCCATGCAAAAACGAGGCATGGCGAGGCCCGGGATGATCCCGTCCCTGGCCATAGGAGGGCATGGGCGGGATGATGGGCCAGTCTGCCAGCCGGTCCGTCGCGCGCAGGATGGAACCGGCTTCGAGATACAAGACCAAGTGGCTGGTCATGTTAAAGGGGGCCAGCAAAAAGTCTCCGGGAGGAATGTAGATGGTGCCCCCACCCGACTGCTGCACGGCCTCCAAGGCGGCGGCCATGGCCAGCGAATTGTTGTGGCGACCATCCCCGATGGCACCAAAGGCCGTTAGATTAAACACTCGCTCCTGGTGCTCCTGCGGCACGCGCGCCTCAAAGCGCATCCGCTGCTCTGACCCCAGTGCCTCCAACCGGAATCCCACATGACCACGGGTCTGATCCGTGCCCACCAACCCTTGATCTCCCACAGCACCCTCGGCTCCCGCCACCACCACGCCTAGCAGCAGCAGCAGCAGCAGCAGCAGCAGCAGCAGCAACGGCAACGGCAGCCTCGACATCGCTCACGCTTGCGCAAGCGTTCGGAGGGGATCGATGTCGTGCTTGGATTAAGTATTATACTTATGCACCAAATTGTGTGACTCTGTCTCTCTCTTTGTCTCTGTCTTAGTCTCTGTCTTTGTCTCTGTCTCTGGCTCTGATTCTGGCTCTGATTCTGTCTCTGTCTCTGACTCTGAGTCTGTCTCTGGCTCTGATACTGATTCTGGCTTTGATTCCATCTCTGTCTCTGTGTCTGTTTTTTACCTACTTACTCCCTCTCTTCTTACTCTCTCTCTTCCCACTCACTCTCTTCTCACTCACTCTCTTCTTACTCTCTCTCTTCTCACTCACTCTCTTCTCACTCTCTCTCTTTTCACTCTCTCTCTTTATTACCAACAACAACAACGAGAGGGAGGAAGAAGAAGAAGGGCAGCGCCAGTCCGTCCGTCCGTCCGTCCGTCCGTCGATATGCAGCGCATCACTGTGACCAAGGGCAAGGATGGCTTTGGGTTCAAGTTGACGGGCATGCGGTTGCCGCTCTGCCTGCATCCCACCAAGGGTACGTACCTGAACCACAAATGCTATTCGTTGCCACGCCCCTTGCCAGATGGTCCCCAACAAACCCTGCCAGCGGGGCATGCCAGCTCATCTTCATGCCGTTTTGGTCACCATGATCAAGGGGGTCCGGCTGAAGCTGCCGGTGTGGTAGAGGGCATGCATTTGATGGGGATCGAGGAGCATCCGACGCTGGATGGCAGCCTTGCCGCCGTCATCAAGGCCGTTCAGAATTGTACTACGGAACTCGTTTTGCTCTGCCAGCCCAACCCCAGCAAAGCTTCGACCACAACAACCACCGCACCGACGCTCGCACAGGACGCTCCTGCCGCAGCCAGTCTCAACGGCAGCGCAGAACCTTCTGCAGCTGGTGCGATCTTTGAACGTTTTGTCTTGGCTTGCTCGGGTGATGGCTCGATCCCCCTTTTCTTTTTCAAGCACATACCTCATTCATGGCATGTCGGTTCTTGAATAGGCGATCGGGGTTGGGACTGCGACAGCACGTCCCAGCATGGATCTCGACGTGAGTGGGGCATGGTCCATCCATCTTCTGTTGTATCTTCAATATCATGCCCCATTCATCACCTGCTGAGCGATCCCTGTTTTGTCCTTGACACATGCTGTGCCTCACCACTTGGTGTTGTTTTTCTTGTAGATGGCAAGCTAAATCAAGACGTGCCCTTTTGCGCCAGCTTCAAACAAAACGGCCACCGCATCGCCATTGCCGCCGTCTTTGATGGCCACGGGCTTCTTGGCGAGATTGCTGCCGCCATGGCGCGTGACACCATGACCGCCCTCCAGCCAACCTTTGCCTGGGACTCGCTCCTCACTCAACCCGAGCAGGGCATGCGCGAGATCTTTGCGCAGCTCGACGCAGCCATTGTCGCCGCCCACGATGCGCCGCCGGCACAGTACACCTACATTGGTCAGAGCGGGTCGCTCGATTTTCGACTCGAAGCGCATGCCATTCCCGAACTGGACCCCCCAAGCGGCTACGTGTGTACGAGCCGGGACGGTGTACCCCCGCGACCGATTGACTTTGGCTGCACTGCTGTGGTTGCGGTTGTGGTGGATGAGACACACGTGGTGGTGGGGAATGCGGGTGATGCGGCGGCGTTTGTATTGCTGCGCGATCAGGCGGGTCACGAGGACCGGGACGGGTACAGCGTGGAAGCCTTGAGCGTTCAGCACACGGCGCGCAGCAAAGCCGAGCAAGCGCGGGTGCACGAGACGCATCCGGGTGCTGCACATTTCACTGGTGACGGGTACCTGGCACCGCTGGACCCGACATTGGCACAGTATGAGCTGCAGTTGACGCGCAGCCTGGGGCACCGCTTGCTGAAGCGGGCGGGTGTGATCGCCGACCCGGAGGTCCGATCGCAGACGTGGCCGGTGGGTGAGGTACACGGTGTGGTTGCGTGCTCGGACGGGATCACGGACGAGCTCTCGGGCTTGGATGTTTTGGACCGCGTGCTGAACGCGGGGACTGCACTGGAGGCGAGTGAGGTGCTGTGTCAGGATGCACAGGACTACTGCATGGACGAGACGTGCATTGACGATGCCACGGCCGTCGTCGCTCTCTTACGACCCCTGGCTGATTTGCCTGCCCCCACGCCGGATGTTCCTCCTGCACCAGTCACGCCTGTAACCAAGCCTGCCGTGACCGCCCCAAAACCTGTGATTACCGCTCCCAAACCAACCATTTCCGCTCCCAAACCTGTCGTCGCGGCGGTAAAGACAGCCTCAGAGCCGCCCGCAGCAGTTGCGTCACGCCCCAGTTTGCCGCGAAAGCCAACCATTTTACGTAAAAAAGTTGAAAAGACTCTAACACGCGTTCGAAGCTACAGTACCCATGGCTCCAGACGTAAGCTTTGACCGCCATCTTTCCCCCCCCATTGGTCAGAAGGATCAATCAGTTGTTGCCTTACTCATGCCGGTCTTTCTTGTAGATGGCAAGCTAAATCAAGACGTGCCCTTTTGCGCCAGCTTCAAACAAAACGGCCACCGCATCGCCATTGCCTCCGTCTTTGATGGCCACGGGCTTCTTGGCGAGATTGCTGCCGCCATGGCGCGTGACACCATGACCGCCCTCCAGCCAACCTTTGCCTGGGACTCGCTCCTCACTCAACCCGAGCAGGGCATGCGCGAGATCTTTGCGCAGCTCGACGCAGCCATTGTCGCCGCCCACGATGCGCCGCCGGCACAGTACACCTACATTGGTCAGAGCGGGTCGCTCGATTTTCGACTCGAAGCGCATGCCATTCCCGAACTGGACCCCCCAAGCGGCTACGTGTGTACGAGCCGGGACGGTGTACCCCCGCGACCGATTGACTTTGGCTGCACTGCTGTGGTTGCGGTTGTGGTGGATGAGACACACGTGGTGGCGGGGAATGCGGGTGATGCGGCGGCGTTTGTATTGCTGCGCGATCAGGCGGGTCACGAGGACCGGGACGGGTACAGCGTGGAAGCCTTGAGCGTTCAGCACACGGCGCGCAGCAAAGCCGAGCAAGCGCGGGTGCACGAGACGCATCCGGGTGCTGCACATTTCACTGGTGACGGGTACCTGGCACCGCTGGACCCGACATTGGCACAGTATGAGCTGCAGTTGACGCGCAGCCTGGGGCACCGCTTGCTGAAGCGGGCGGGTGTGATCGCCGACCCGGAGGTCCGATCGCAGACGTGGCCGGTGGGTGAGGTACACGGTGTGGTTGCGTGCTCGGACGGGATCACGGACGAGCTCTCGGGCTTGGATGTTTTGGACCGCGTGCTGAACGCGGGGACTGCACTGGAGGCGAGTGAGGTGCTGTGTCAGGATGCACAGGACTACTGCATGGACGAGACGTGCATTGACGATGCCACGGCCGTCGTCGCTCTCTTTCCTGCCCGTGATACCATTAGTGAAAGTGACGCATAAGCATAAGCCATGTTTACACAGACCTTGTGCTCTCTGGCCGAGCGATGCGCTTGTTTACCCTTTTATGCCGCGGTCGCATCAATTGATTCTCTCTACGGGCTCTTTCCCCTTGTTCCAGCCGCACTTGTTATAATTGCCTGCCTACTTGCTTGCTTGCTTGCTTGCACACAGGGCGGACGAAGCAACTTTTTCAGTTTTCTTTTTTTTTTGTTGTCCGTTTTGTTGTCGCCCGCTGTCTCGTGGTCCACAGCAGAGGAGGCACGGGTAAGGAACTCGGGGACAGATGATGTTGGATGCGCTTTGGTGAGGGGTGGTCCGCACAGGATAGTCTCGCAGAGTATGGTTGCTGTGGCGCTGATCACCGGGCAATCATGGCACTCATGAGCCACTTCAAGACTCGCCAGGGCTTGCTGTTGGTTTCGCTGGGTTGGATGCTCTGTGTTGCCTTGTTGGTCAGCTTCCCCGTAAATACTCGGGCCCTGCCTCAACCACACCCTCCCGCAGAGCTCGAAGCCATTGAAGTTGCCGTGGTGGCCGTCGGGTCTAACCATGCCCGGCGGCTGCAGGTGCTAATCAAATCGATTCTCTTCCACCATTTGCCGCCACAGCCCTTGCGCTTTCATGTGATTACAGATCATGAGACAGCGGCCAGCCTGCGGCACTTATATCGAAGCTGGCGCTTGCCTGCTGTCCAGGTCCGCTTCTACAGCATCACAGCTGCACTGCAGGGCGTCGACTTGCACGGTCTAGAGACGCATCACTACGCCGGCCGCTATGCGTTTGTAAAGCTTTTTGTCGCCGACCTGCTGCCCGTGAGCCTTGAGCGGGTGATGGTGCTGGACACCGATCTCCTGTTTCTGGGCCCCATCGCCGAGCTCTGGGATCAATTCAAAGGATGGAGTGCCTCGGCCATATTTGCTGTTGTGGACAATTTCTCCGAGTGGTATATTCCAGGTCGCCTGCAGCGACAACCCTGGCCCGCGCCGGCACCCTTGGGCATAAACACGGGCGTGACCTTGCTGCACCTGGCACGCCTGCGCCACCAAAACTTTCCAAAAGTCTGGACCAGCGCAGTTGCCCGTGTCCTAGCCGATCCCCGCCTCAACATCACATACGCACCATTGGCTGACCAGGACGTCATGAATACGGTTTTTTACGACAATCCGACGTAAGTGAGCCATATGCGCCCAAATTTCGCTCGCCAATGCAGGATCCCGCCTTGCCGTAACAGTGCGCTTTGCAATCTGGGTGCGATGACAGCCTGTTGCATCGACTGCCCTGTCGGTTTAATTACCAGCTGAGCGAGAACACGCTCATCTTTCAGGTTGGTTCTCGCCACATTTTCGTGCGTCGGTACCATCTCTCCTTGACCGAGGTGATTGCAATGACAACACTTTCTTCGCCTCCTGCACCAATGTAGCGCTGCGAGGAGAAGCCACTGATTATTCATTGGAATTCGCCCACTAAGCTCAAGGTGAAGCTTTCCAACATTGGCGCATTCTTAGCCCAAGAACGTTTCATAACCACGCTCGACGGCAGTCTTCTGGTCCATATGCGGCGAACATCGATGCCACCTACGGATACAGAACCCGAAGCCTTGGCCCAGGTGGCGCCGGAGACTTGCCAAGCCTATCTGCCGGGCCCACACCAAATTGTGCGCGAGCTTCCCCGTTTTGTGTGCTTGGAGCGTCCTGCACTCGAGACCGGGGCCGTTACCCTGATCACGGCCTTTACGCCGGATCGCCTTGATCTTTTCTTAAGTTTGGTGCGCAGCTACGAAGGTCCGGTCAGCGCGGCACTGTTTGCAAACGATGAAGAGGCCGACCGTGTTGCCCAGGCGCTTGCCGAGACCAGCTTTGCCCGGCGGCACAGGCGCGTTTGTGTCCATTTATTAATGCCCGATGGCCTGGCTCCAGGAGCCGTTCCAATTAATCGTCTCCGCAATTTGGCTTGGGACCACGCCCCAACTCCGTGGGTGTTTCATGTTGATGTCGACTTTGAGGCAAGCGTCAACCTTCACGCTCAGCTGG